AGTGGAATTTGACACAACATTGTAAAATGATTACAAATCAATAAAAAAAAGTTAAATGGTAAAAAAATGTTTTTCAAAGACTAATTGCAAAAAACTGTTTTAAACTTAAAATATGTCCAAAAATGTTATCTTCATTCACTCACTAGTTTAACAACATTAAATAGTCTATATTGTATATCCCAATAAATTAAACAATAAAAAGATTGTTTTAGTATTGTTATTGTCTGTTAATTGTAAAAACTGTATCTCTGGTTTTTATTCTATGTATCACTAGGTATCATAGAGCTTAGCAGAGCCTCATGTCAATGTGCAGAAAAACTATCCATAGAATCGTGAAGATAGTTAAAGCAGGTGCAGAACATCTCATAGAGGAATTTTTTTTTTACATTTTACAACACTCTTTATTTGATTTTAAAACTTGCCTTTTTATCTGTGTGCACTGGAATGTTTTATTCCCTATGTAATTTATAGGGTTATAATCTCTTATTTTAAATATTATTCCAAAAGTAATTTCAGGAAACAAAAAAAATTTTGTGAAACTTAATTGGTCTTAAAAAAATCATATGGACAAGGAACTCTCAAACAAAACTAGATTAATAAGATTTCTTATCTACTTAACTATATGACAGATCCCCAGTCCCAGTCCCCTTTCTCAAAAAAAAAAAAGCTAGAGATAAAGATAAGTTAATCAGATTACTACGCATAAGCATCCATGTATTATGAGGCATAAAAGAACTTGCTTCAGGCCAGGGGATATTTAAACAATGATAACAATCAGCTATTACTAGCCACACTGGCCCTATACTCTTGAAAATACTTATGTTTACGGCCATCAGATGCCTCACTGCTATGATGTCGCCATGTATAGAAAAGACTATGGAATAGTTTATTGGCTGGTAAAAATGCCTGAGGTCAAGCAGCTATTTTACTAGTTGTGCAATGTAACATATCTACTGTGGGTTTCCAAGAGACTCAGGTCCACAAATACATTCCTTCTGACTCTGCTTCCACGTTGCACAGAAGGACACAGGGAAGACAGACTGCTGTATCTCAGACACAAAGAGGAGGATAGCTCTGAATACATTTTCTTCACAACACAGTTTAGGGCAAAGGATTGTAGGAAAACTTTTATAATTTCAGGAAAACAGCATGAAGAAAATAAATATTTGAATGAAAGATAAACTTTTGCTTTAAGATACTTTTCCCCCTCTTAGAGATCAGTTAATTTAAAATGGATTGACTGTGCTTTTCTACCCTACAACTCTACAAATAACTATCAGAGAAATACCTTAAATACATGAAATGCTCTGTTTGGTGAAAAATTTATTCTAATGTTTCATTCTTTCTTCTTTCCCTGTTATTCTTCAAATTTCTATTAAAAGGTAAGTAATATCATGAAATTTGATGGCACAGTTAATGCTCTTTGAATGGAGGCTATTAATAGGAAGGATGTTGTTATTATTCTCTTTTGGCTGACATCCACTCATTCTCTATTTACATATCTTTAATCTCTACATTTCTGGTTTTCTATAAATTCTAGTTTATATTTGTAGGGTTTTTAAAAAAAATTCATGAAAGCTCTCTTATTTTTTGTATCTACATCTCTAGATATACATAAACCTGAGTATATAGCAACCATAGAACAATATAAAGGATTTATTTGAGTTTGGAGTCTAGATTTTGGTAGCGAAAAAAAGTCATGGGGTTCTGTTAAAATGAGTCTGACAAGTCTTGGCCCAAAGTCACTCCTAAAAGGAAACTGTCTCCCTTTGAAAGCAAGAATATAATCAATATTTTCATAATATATGAATATGAAATAGAATATAGTATGTTAAGTCAGTATTAACATTTAATTAATGACGATTTCACTTTTTAAAGGCTATATAAAAAGAACCGTTTAATCGCATAACCTGGAAGTTTTTACTTCATTATTGTTTCTTCTTTATTTCTGGCTAAACTGTACTTTCCAGTTAGCAGACAGAAACCTGATACTACATTGAATAAATTTAAGTAAATACACATTCTATTTTTCAGTGTTAAGTAATCTCTTGGCTAAAACAGAAAGTGTAGATGTGATGCTCTCTTTGGTCGCAGTACTGTGTGCCGCACCATAAGGGCTTCTTGAGTTACTGTTACAGAGTGATCCCAATTCTTGGTAGACTAATCCCACACTTCACTATGGATCCCAACCTGTACATCTGTTCAGAGGGGCTAATGGCTAAATGGATGTGTAGTCGTATTCAACAGTATTTATTGCCTTCCTTATGGTGATTTTTAGGTCTGGTCACACATATACCCTTTCTCCTTCCTTCCCTCTCTCCTTCTCATGCATACTTTTGAAAGCCCATATGTGTAAAGAATAGAGTTAATGTCTTTAAGAATTCACAGTCTAGAGGAGTTGAGATATAAATTAAAAATTCTAGTACCATACAGTAAGTATTAAGCTACCATGAAGACACAGAGGAGAAACACCTAATCTAGTTTATGGGGATTAGGAGAGGCAATCTAAAGATTACACCTGACACAAACACACAGATATTTGCATATACATATGTCAATGCATATTTTTAAAAGATACATTATGAACTTTTCAGAAATAAGAAAGTAATGACTCAGTGTTGGCTGATATGCCTGTTTCCACTACAATGAAGAACACACACTGTCTCAGTTGGGGGTTAATATTTGTAAATGACTTGACTTTTGCAGAAGAATGGTGGCACATAATATTAAGATATTAATGCTTTTCTAATCTCTACTGTATTTTCAGCAGCTGACTTGTAGTCAGTACCAAAGGAAAACTTTCATTCTGTGCATGGTAGAGTAGAAAGCATGTCAGATTAGTTAAAAAAAAAAAAAGGTGTTAGTCCTAAATAGGTGAAAAAACTATGTGATTTTGACCAACAATTAAACCTCAGTTTCTTCACTGGAAACATAAGGAGGCTGAGCAAGATGATTTTTAAATTTCTTTCTATATTTAAACATCTGGTTTCTATTTTTAAAAATCTGGTTTACATTAACACTTTAAAATTATTATAACCTTTAACAGTGCTTAGCGTTTAAGTCCCCACTTCTAGAAAGTGCTTATATTATTCATGTTCTCCCACTCCCCATAAAATTTGACTTTGTCTTGCCAGTTACACAGCCCCCGTCACACTAGCCGAGACCTGTCAGACTGGCTCTAGTTAGGTCATCAGTGATTTCTTTCTTCACCTCAATCCAGACCACATTGTTGCTGACAGAGCCTGGATATACACACTTGACTGCAGACTTTGGTCTCCACAGGACTGTTCCTTGCGGGCAGCAATGTATGTAAGTTCCCTTTTCTTTTCCTTCTCCTTGTCTTAAATTAGCTCGTTTAAAATGGCATAAACCATACCAACAAATATGTAGATCTCCAATTTATTGTTTATCTAGTATAGAAAAATATTTGATATTTAACCTGTAATTATGTCAAGAAATAGATTTCTCTTCTTTCTGTGTTAGTGTTCTCTGTCCTCATGTGTCCCACCCCAAAATGTTTTCTATGTGCTTTCAGAAGAGTTCAACAACAGATAAAGGCACATTGTGTTTGACAACTGTCTTTTGTTTTGTTTCAAGAAGAATAGAATGTGTTTTTAGCTTGGGTTTTATTTGTCCCAAGTTATAGTATATTATATATTACATTATATTGAGAAATACTTTTATTTTTAAAGTTATATATGAGAAAAATATAAATCTGAAACCATGAAGATCAAAATTACTCTTATTTCTGTTAGTAAATATAAATTTTAAAAAATTGTCTGTTTTTAAAGAATAAGAAACAATTCAAAAAGACAATATAATTAAAGTATTATAGTTGAATATTTAAAATAAATCCAATGATGTACCTAATCACAAAATCAACTTCTCTAACAGGTAAGTCATATGTTTATTGCAGGAATAAATGTACTGACAAGAATGCTTTGAACTGAAATATTAGGAACTTTCTTTTTAAGGCCATTGGCTCAAAACTTGAAAGGTGCATCAGAAATAAGTGGAGAGTTTTCATCAAACAGCATGCTCCTTCTTCTTTAGCCAAATTTCTGATAGCCCCCATCCCACTTCTCCTGTTCTAAGTAAAAATCACTATTTCAGAATGTAAATGTAAGAGGTAATTTGAGTCAGGTAAACATTATTCTTCAGATGCTGTCATTTTCCCCAAACTCTTATTTGATTCTATTGTTTGAACATGAAGAAATCAACACATTAATCTGATAAAAACCCATGCAGCAGAAGGTTAAAGAAAAATTTATCAAGAATCAGTTTATAAGGAAGAGATTTGGGAAGAGAATATATTTATCAAATAGATTTATTGTTGATGGGATGTCTGCTAACTACATTGACCAGCAACCACTAACAAGAATTAAAATTAAGCAGGTCAAATTTGTAGACATTATTATCTACACATGTTTACATGGATGAAAGTAAGATGAGTAATATTCAAGTAAAACTAAATGGACAACTTCAATTTTTACTAGGAAGGACAAGCATTATTGCACAATGTGTAATCCATGGACCCCTCCCCTAGATTTATTGAGTACTTATAAAAATAGAGAAGTCCGGTTCTCATCTAAGAAATTCTTATGAATCTCTGGTTGAGGCATGGGAATCGCAACTTTAAAAGTTACACAAAGAAATTCTTACTTAACCTAAAGTTTGAGAAGAACTGATATAGTATAAAGCCATAAAAAAAGTAAAGGAACTTGTAAGACAGAAAGAAAGAAAAGCAGAAATGAAATAGGTCAGCTTTTAAAGAGGTAGCTCTTTGTTTTAACTAAATTGGTATAATTATATCTTAATGGTGCTCTCTCCCAGATCACCTTTCCCTCCAAGGGAGAAGAGTAGTCATTTATGCAACATAGTGATGATTAAGGAAGAGAGGACAATTTCAGAAGGGATGGGAAACTGAAGGGAGGATACAGACATGATTTGGGTAGTTTGTGTTAGATAGGGAGGGTGGTCTTATTTGGATTAAAAATCTGTTTGTTTATAGAGAAAATCTCAATGTTAAGATTAATCTAGCAACACCTTCCTTTCTGCCCTGAGGTTAGTCATTAGATAGTGATAGTGAAGAGTCACTCTACTGACACTTAGGTGCAGAGTTGCTGTATGATGCTGCTCCATCTGTTTAACATTGCCCCTCACTTCTCCTTCAGCTAAGATCAGTCCTGGTCCATGTAACAACTTTTAGTGAGTTCCCATTGTGTACTAAGTTCTGTGTGGAAGAAAATGATTTGTTGAGCACCTATTATGTATTAAACATTTTGTAAAATACTGTCTCATATTTTAATTTTGGCAGTACTTTGAGATGCTGTTATTGTGATCACTCCTTTAAAACATGAAATAACTGCAGCTCAAATTGTCTAGACTTAATAAGTGTTGGATCTAGAATCTGACCTCGGCCTTTCTGGCTCTAAATTCTATGCTCTTTCTACTGTAATACGCTATGTATCATGTTTGTGAGGCTAAAAAGAGACTCTTTGGAAAGACTGCACTTTAACAGAGAAAAGGAAAACATGCACACTGCATATACATACAAGGAGAAAATGTGCATGTCTGTGTAGGCATGCATGTCTACACGACGTACAGGCAAAGAAACAGATCAGTACAGGTTAATATCAAAGAATGCAAGTAGATGTGAAAGGAGGAAGGGTGGTGATAGAGTTTTACTTTCATTACTGGTCTATAGAAACATTTGAAGAATTCACAGGCTGCCCTTATTTAATTTTCTTAAAACTGACTCTGTTCTTAAACAAGGTAAGAATATGACTTAACTTTTCTGCACTGTCTCAAAGGTGATCAGTAACTGAGAGCATAGCACTTCAATTACATTGTCACCATTTTTCTAAACGAGATTACACCATTTGCTACTGTGTGAAAATCAAGTTCACCTTAGTGCAGCATTTCCTGGAAGGAATTCATCAGTCTGTAGAGACTATCACTGTCTGGTGGACCTTTGCTATCCTTCATCCTTGTCTGCTTTCCTCGAAAAATGTCACTGCCTCAATACCACAAGGGAATAAATAGAAACATTCAAGGAAAACAATCAACATCACGTGCTTCCTTGTCAGCACTGAGATTTGAGTCTGCCAGATGCTTTTTTGCTTGAGGGCGGATGTTTTCGTGCTTCATGGCTTTGTCAGTATTAGGATTTAGAAGTACCCCACTAAGAACATCTCAAAGCATACCGCTTTGGACACAGTCTCATTGAAAATGGTGGATGAGAATTATGAAGGACAGACTCATTGTTTCAAGCATAAATTAGTAGGTTTGAAATGAGTGGATTAGAGACTAGGAAAGTTTTAAGAAGTTGAGAAAGACAAAAATGGGCTACAGAGATAGCAGATCATGCCAGAACCTGCAAGCCCAATCTCCCGCATATGCACATGGCCTGCGTGGTCGAGCAATTTCTGAGATTTTTAGAAGAGTAGTTCTGAGATGATAGAACAAAGCCTAGGGTAGTCCAAAGTATCACACAGTCATCATTAAATTCTATCTTGCTACCTTTCCTCTGAAAATATCTGATGATACCTCTTTTTGAAGCCGTAAAAGCAGATACAGAAGGATTTAGCACTCTATTTACAGTATTTCTTAAATTGAAGCATAGTCAATTTACAATGTTGTGTTAGTCTCTGGTGTACAGCACAGTGATTCAGTTGTACATACATAACATATATAAATATTCCTTTTTATATTCTTTTTCATTATAGGTTATTACAAAGCATTGAATATAGTTCCCTGTGCTATACAGTTTATCTATTTTACATATAGTAGTTAGTATCTGCAAATCCCCAACTCCCAATTTATCCCTCCCCAAAGCACTCTATTTAAAGTCAAGCTATGAGCCAGTGAAGAGCAATATAATTGCTATCATTTGTTTCACATGTACTGTGTGTCAACTACTGTTCTAAAATATCATGCACATTTACATTTTATAACAAATTATGGTTATATTATTATATCCATTTTACAGATGAGGAAACTGAGGCTCAGACAAGTAACCATGTTGCCCAGACATGATAAATGGTACAACTGAGAATTAACCCAGGTCCACCTGACTCTAAATCTATACTCTTAACCTCAGTGCTATACTATCCCCACAATACCTCCTTTACCTACCAAGGCAGTGCTACTACTGTGCTGATTTAACTGTCTTATTGTGTTAAAATAAAAGTTACATTTACAAGGAACAATGTTATTATTCACTGAATAGTCATCTAAATAGACCTTGAGGTTGAGAGACAGGAAGCATCTCTGTCTGTGTTCTATAAATTAAGGGACACAGCAGTCAAAGATTAGGTAATTTGCATGTGGTCACAGGAATGGGTGAGTCACTCAATACTAGAGATTGAATCCGTCCTGCCAGTTCATCTGTGTACTGAGTCCAACGTTGTTAAATAGAAGAGGTAAATTAACACAGGTGTCAACCAGACACAGGAAATATTATTATTACTGTTGCTACTATTACCATTTGAATTTGTATAGAAATATATGGACATTTAAAAATTAGTTACTGCACATTAAAAGCTCGTTGGGTCACATTTACAAAAATTCAGAAAGGGTATATATAATAGGAATACATGTATATTATATACACACTGTACACACACACACACACACATAATATGTATATATTCTTTACATGTAATTCCAACATATATTTCTTATTTGGTACCTATTAACAACACTGAGAGGCAGGCAATTTTAATATTACCATGATTTTACAGATAGGGAAATCAAAGATTAGGAAGATCGAAGCCTCCAAATGCCTGAGTAAGTGATTGGCAGACCTGGAGTTTGAACATACATTTTTAACTCCAGTCCTGCACTTTCTAGCAGTGCTGCCTGCTGCCTCCACCACATCATGACCCTCGGAATCACAAGGGCTCCCTTGGTTAAGCAGAGATAACTTTCCTTGCTTTTCAAACAGTTAGCTTAATCTTAATCTCTTAATTTTCCGAATACAGAAAATAGAAAAGATAATAAATAATACATCTAAAAGATTTCAAACCAACTTTTCAAAACTTACAACATATACAAGTCATAATAAAGCACCTGGACATATAATACTGGATTCAGCAGTGAAGCGAAAGTTGGGCTTCATAAGTAGTGTTCTAAAATCCTTGCCCTAGGTGGTAGTGTATAGCTCAGTGGTAGAGTGTGTGCTTTGCATGCATGAGGTCCTGGGTGCAATCCCCAGTACCTCCACTAAAATTAACAAACAAATAAATAAGCCTAATTACCTCTCCCCTAAGAAGTGAAAAAAAATTTTTTTTAAGATTTAAAAAATTAGTAAATAAAATCCTTGCCCTGAACTATATACTTCATGGTGACCACAGGCTTGACTTACAGATTTTTAGAGCTAGACAGGTCCAAAGATGAGTAGTTTTCCACATTTTCTTTACCACTTGAATCCCTTTTACACATAAGGCCTAGTACAAGCCCCTGTTGCGTGGAGCAGTGTTGTGATGGGTGGAGTGGGTCTAAGGCTTGGGAGCCTCACCTGCTCCATCTTTTCCTTATCCTCTCAGGCACATGAGGCAATCTGAAGGATTTTTCAACCTGCTTTGAAAACAAATTAATGCCCATTATGAAGGAGGAATAAGGACAAAGCCAACGTTTGATGAGCATGTACTGTGTACTTGGCATGATGTCAATTGCAGTAAGTGTTATTTCACTGAACACTTAAAAGAATCCTATAGTTGGGTCTTATCATTATCCTAATTTATAGGTGGGGAAATGTAGACTGAGAGAAGGTAACTTGCTCAGAGCCACCTAGCTAATGAGAAGCAGAGCCAGGACTAAACCCAAGTTGTTTTGATACCAAACAGATAGATACATGGATGTGAAGTTTAGATAAGTGATCTGGGCTGCTGTTAAAGATTTGGTAGCCATCAGCATATAGATATGTATTAAAGCCATGGGCACTAGTGACTGAAAATATTTAGGTCTTTCAGATAATGCTTTTCTTGTAATTTTATGGTATTAATTTACATAGCAAATTATACCTTATCCTAATATGAATCTGAGCATATTTCACTATGTTCCTATTAAAATGCCAATATATTTGAGTATAATTAAGGTGAATATTTCACACATTTGTGTTCCATCCAAAAGTTAAGACTCAATATTTCCATTATATTTTGGGTCAGCAATTGAGGCAGCAAGTTTATTAAGCAAGAAATTTCACTTTTGGAAGAATAATATAAACATTAACAGAATCCACACATTTTCCAGTTGTTCCTCATAGCTAAATAAATTCAGATAGGGTTTTATTATATACAGAAATTTCTAGGTCCTTGTATGGCTTACAGTGCTTGCCAAGAAAACAGCAGCCAGAAGGTCACCACATGGTCTCAGCACATGTTCCAACTGGCACATTCCAATTTTAAGAGCCATCAGTGACTTCACAAAATACAATTTTATGGGTGTAGGGATTTTAAAACTGGCTTAGGATGCAAGTAATCAAGAAACTTTATGACTTCCTCATATGAAAGTTATATTATTGCAAATGACTTGCAGTTCCTTAATTCGACTATTCCAAATGGTCTGACATCTAGCCATCAGGAAAATGATGCACTTGAAAAATTATGTTAAAGTTGATTATTTTTAAAAAGCCTGAATTTTAACCATGATAATGTTAAGCATTTTTAGGTTATCTGAGACATGGAACACATGCGTTGGTGGAAATTAAAGAGCAATTAGATCAATTAAAACCCTCATTGTTTTGTAACAAATGAAGAAAATGAAAGCACATGCAGCATCATGTAAGTTGAGAGTTAGGGGATGCTGGAACTTATGTGATGCTGAATATGCTCTCAGAGTTCTCATCTGAGAAACTTAGACTTAAATGGAAGGACATAGTCCTTACATGAAAATCCTAAGAGTAAGACACAGGCCACTGCTCTTCCAGTTCAGAGTTATTTCCTCTCAATAATACCAACTCTCATAAGAGGCATCTAGACAAACTCAAGAGAAAGTTTGGATAGGAAGGCATCTAATGTTACAAGAAGTTTCTGAAAGTCAGTGCTATATATCAGCATTCTCAAGAGTGTCTCTAGTCAGGTTTCTCAACCATTATTCTTCTGGTATACTTCCCATGACACACTCACACTTCCCTATTAATTGTTATTTTTCTTCCACGCTTTAAAGTGCATACAATTCCCTATGACTAGCTGCAGTGGCCACTCTTGTCAAACTTTCTGTGGGAAACTGTTGCTTTTAAAATTGCTTACTTAAGTCATGCTGACTTATTTCTTGAACTGGAAAGAATTTGAAGAAAATAAAGCAAACATGTTAGTGTAATTAAGGGTTAAAACAGCTCAGTTTATAAGTCTATAAACCCACACCTAATTTACTTAATAATACCTTTAATTTTTTTGCACCCCATCTATGTGTGATTGTAAATTTCTAGAGGTCAGGCAAAGTGCCAACCTGAATCTCAGTCTGTAGTTTCCTGTGATGCACCATATCTGGCGGGGAACTTAATAAAGACCTTGATAAGAACATAGCAGAGATCAGAGACACTCCTTACCGCTGAGTTGTCACTGACACATATAATACATGTATCCAACACCGATGATGCACAACTTCCTTTTAAAGTAGGTAGGAGGAAAGATAGTATCACTTTAGTTTTGTGGGTGGTTAAATATAGTAATCATTAAGCTATGGGTTTTGCCTAAATTAACAGTTCATGGTAGGGTTTTCTGTCATTCCCAATATTTATTAAAAACTTACCTAAGTAATACTGTATTTTTTGTCTATGATTTCGATAATCCTTAGGTACTTTATAATGTTGAAAATGCCACATGGAGCCATTTCAGTAATTAGGGAAGCATTGTCAGATATTTTAAAAAATTATCTTAGAGCTTGGTATGAATAATTCCGCACTGCTTCTCCCACATACTGCTTTTACTGATTAGTAATTGATGTCATTTGCCAGTATTGAGGGACAAACAGAGTATTATGAAACTAATTTTTGTTTCTATGCTAAGAATACTGTGGAGAATATAGTTCATTATATTACATAGTCTTCTTTTTATTAGAATACAAAAGAATTGTATTGCTGCTGAACAACTACTCAGTTTTTATCTTATGCATGCCATGGAGAATGTACCGGAGGAGGGTTTGTTTGCTTGCTTTATTTTATTTAATTTTGTTTTTGAGTTGGCTGCTAAAAAGCTACAAATTTTATGTCCTGACTTAAGGAAATATGTAGATGCGAATTAGGATATGTAGTTTTAGTACTATTGCCACTTTATGTTTTCACTTAATGTTTTGTTTTCTCCTTGCATCCCTATATTTAATACCATACATAAATATAATTTAATAATATATAATTTGATAATATAAATATAAATATCCTTATAAGCTACCTTAAACCAGTCTAGAACAAGATGGAATCTAAATGAAAACATTTATAATAAAAATAATAAGTTTCCCACCATTTGTCTTGGTACTATAAAATAAAATGGAAACAGTTGTCTCCTAATTAGACTACTACCTTGATATAACTGTAACTTCTCTAATAGAAGTATCCACAGTTACCACTGTAAGGAACGCACAGGTCATTCAGTTCAAGGGCCTGGCTGATGCTGTTAGACACTTTGTAGGTGTGTTTGTGTGGGACTGGACAAGACAGAAGTACGTGGTTCATAATTTTACATGAGTAATTTGTATTTCTTTTAAAAAAGGCACTGAAAACATGATCCATGCACACATATTCAAAACTTCTGTTCCACCTTGAATATTTTTATAGTCTTATTCTAGAAAGTGTAAGAAAGAGTAGAGATCTCACCAGTGCCAGCTTGTGAGTCTTCCACAAAGGAAAAGCATCTGGAGTATTTGCATGGCTAGGACAAGCAGGCACAGTCTATGAGCTAAAGAAATAAGCTAGTGCCGAACACATAATAAAAACTGAATAAATATTTATTAATTGATATTTTAAAATGTAAGCATTGACTTAGCAATGTCATAAGGTCCTATGCTGTTATTTCATTGTGGTATCTTTCTTTATGCTTCTGTTTGGATATTGTAGTTATATACAGATATTCAATGACCCCAAATAATGTCTCCTGAAATTAATGACCCTTTATTTTCATTTGTCACTTTCTGTACTATGATATCACTTCACAGCAGATAGATCAAATCAGTTGGAAAATCATGTATTTTAAACATGGGGGAAATAGAAATATTAACTACAAAGCTCGATCATTATATAAAGTGTTTTATGGAAATAAGGCTTTACTTAAATGGTGATTATTCTTCCCAATGTCTGACCTATCTTTTCTTATGGGTAATATCCCAGGTTCTTTTCTAAGGCTAAGGCAGAACAGAAGTGCTTTGAGAGAGACTGAAACCCATACTGTGGTACTGACAAATGGTCCATTTAGTTTGGTTTAGTTAACTTCAGTTCCCTCTGGAAACAAATCTTGAGTGTACAGTCAGAGAATACAGAGATATAGTAAGTCTCAGACACCATCCCTAAGGAGCTCAAAATGCATATTCTAATGAGATACTCGGGGTGAACAAAACTTCCTGAGGCAGAGGGGACTTTTTGAACTGGCTCTTAAATATGCTCTGATTTTTACAATGCAAGCAAAGAACAGACTAAGTTACTCCACATCGGAGGCAGCAGGAGCAAAGTCAAAGGGCTGGAAAGCTCGTGGGGAAGAGCAATTGCCAGGCAAACTGAGGCCAACTTGGGTTTCAAGTCTTTTCAGTCATTGGCTCTCTCACCTCCAGAAAGACCACTTACTGTACTGGAGAATAATTCAGAGATTGGGGAGTCAGGAGAGAAACCTGTTATCAAGCTGCAGGACAAGTTTCGGTCAGGATTTCTAGAACAAGGTTGGTGGCAATGGGATTGGAGATGGACTACATTAGATTTGCCCTGTGAGTGAGATTAGAAAACGAAAAGATTATTATGACTTCCCAACACAATTAGCACTGGCTTGTAGGTAGGCATTTGTTCTGGTAAACTTTTCTTTGAAGAGCGTTGAGCCTTGACTTGTAGGCTACTGCTCACATCAGCTTTCAGTAAACTATGGCCCAAGGGACAAATCTGGCCCACCACCTGTTTTTATAAATTAATTGAGCTAAGACTGATTTTTATACTTTGTAAATGGTTGAAACAAATCAAAAGAAGAAAAATATTTTATGACAAGTGAAACTTATACAAAATGTCAATTTCAGTGTACACAAAGTAAGTTTTTTTTGGAACACAGCCCTGCTCATTTCTGAGTGTACTGTCTGCAGCTGCTTTGGTGCTACGCAGAGCTGAGTATGGTAGTTGCAGCATGGAGTGTGTGGTCCAGAAAACTGAAAATAGTTACTATCTTGACCTTCACAGAAACGTTTGCTGATCTCTGGCTGAAATGGTTGACAATAATGAAATAGTTGATAGTAATGGAATTACCAGCTTTATTGATATTGTGTACATGCTCATTCAGAACAGCTCAGCCAGACTGAGCTGGGGAAACAGAACTAAACATCAGTGCTGATGTTTACATTACAGAGAATGGGCAACGAGTTGGAGATGCGCTATTAATCAGTGCGTAGCGGTGGTGTCAGGTAGGCATTTGTTCCGGTAAACTTTGCTTTGAAGCACTATGAGCCTTGACTTACGGCTCTCCAGTGCTTATCAGAAGGTTTGTTTGTGTTGGTACCTTTTCTCCCCCTCACCTTTTCGTTGTTGTTGCTGCTGCTGCTTTTCTTTTTTGGTACTATTCTAAAAACAGCGCATTAAGAGGTGATCACGATAATGCAATTCTTGACTTGTCTTCTGGCAATTTGGGGCTGACAAAAATATACCCATATTTTAACTACTATATTCACTGTCTAATCACACATGTCCTCAAATTGAAAAGAAAAATCACAAAAAGAAAGAAATTTGATACCAGTGAAGCTACTAGAATTCATCCAGTCTGTCTGAAGTTTCAGCCATGAGGAGGTTTGGATAAGTTTCAAAAGGCCCCAATCATGACTGGGCAAGGGTTTATGTGCAGGAGGGGGTTAGTGACATCAGTGTCTGTTGATATATAAAAAGGATTTATTTCTCCATTTTAATAATTTTTTGAGCACACTCCTATTACATTTAATTTGGAGCAATTTAATATTGAATCACTTGCTGAGAGAGCAACAAACAAACTAACAAGAAACAGGTCAAATAAGTTTGAAAAGCAATGTCATATAGACTGGGAAGAAAGAGATCATGTTTCAGATGACAAATACTGCAGTAACATGGTCATTACCTTTATTATTAATAATTAAAATAATAATGATAATAATAATAATCCTTACTATTTGTACAATGATTTTCTACCTGGGAGTGCAAAGCAATAAAATACTTGATCATTTTTACCTCTGTAGAGCTAGGAAGGGTCTGGGATTCTTATCCTTGCTTTTCATATGGAGAAAGTAAGAGAGAGAATTGAATCTGCTAGTACCATACTATACAATAAATAAGTTGGTGGCCAGAGTCAGAAACATATTCTCTTGATTATTTATTCAAAGTGTTTTTAATGGATTGTCTTTTCCTTTATTCCATGCTATTGGTCTTATCTTCTTCAAAGCCACCAAAGACAGAGCATCACTAAAATCATTATGAAAGGTGGGAGACAGGAAAAGAAGACAGCAGTACCTTGGCGAAGATGGTGATAGGAGCTCCATGAAAGGACAATCCTCCTTGTTATTTCTCTCCTCTCTCATTTAATTCAAAAGCCATGATATTTCTTGTTAAAAAAAAATCCACCAGAACACACACACAAAAATCCAGCAAAACACAAAAAGTATACAAATTAAAGTGTCTCCTGTTATTCTGCTTCTTACTGCTAATATTTTTGTGTCTTTCTATATATTTTGCTATGCACACACATATGTAGTTTTATTATTTGCAACAAGTGCAACATAGAATGCATATTATTCTTCAACATTTTTTTCCACTAAAATGCATCTTTTACCTTTTGCATGTTAATACATGTAGCTCCACCTCATCAATTTAATGGCTGCACTGTTTTAATTTTGTCTTGATTAAAAATTATGGTAGAACAAAAAGAACTTCTGTTTTATATGTCACAATTCTACATAGCAATCATGTGCTTTTGACTATTAGATCATGTTTCCTATAATTACAAATTCATATTCTTCATCTGGCGTGTACTGACATTAGTTGAGAAGCCCTACCTCCCCATATTCCTTCAAAGTTTTGCTTATGTCTGCTATAGGCATCTCCTTTCTTCTCCAACAAGTGAATAATAAGCATTCAGGGATGAAGAAATAGGAATCAACTTATAGTCTTCTTAGACATGTTTGCACATAAAAAATGTACAGAAGAGAAAGGGAGAAGTCTTTTTATATTACAGTAATTCTAGGAACAGGTGTTTGGAATCCCACTCAAGGGAGAACTAGAGATGAAAGAGATTGGGGAGAAGATGAAGTTTCCTTGGCTACAGCCCCATGGGAAAATCTCAGGAATAAGGGAGCAAAAAAAAAAAAAAAAAAAAAAAAAGGAATAAGGGAGGAGACCAAGTAGAATCCTTGGAGTCTTCCACTACATCCCAGTGACTTCAGCAGGGGCAGGGGCAGGGGCATGTAGCGATGATTCGGCTGACTTCTGCGATAGTTCCCACAGAACAGGACATTGAGGCAGAGCCAGGATGTGATGATGGTGGGCCAGGGACCACAGTGATAATCCCACTTTCTGGTCCTACAACACCAGGAAACAGAGTCCCCTTGACTTCTGTAAGCAAAAATTATTCATTGCAAAATGCTTCACAGTTTTCCAAGAGGTTTTCACATTCATGATCTCATTCTGGATTTCACAGTCAACAACGCCCTTTAGACAGAACTGGTAGCCTGGCCCTTATTGACAGATGGAGGAACATAGTTCAGAGTCTAAATAATTTGTCCAAGCTGGTAAGGAAAGAGCTGGATTCAGAATTCTCTTTATTCTGATTCCATTTCCAGTTCTCCCCAGGATAATATTACCCTTTCCCCCAGTTCTCATGTACAAGATAGCACTCTTAAGAATATATGCCATTGATTTAACCAGCATGATAAATACCTCAAGAAATTTAAAATAACAGCATCGTACTTCACCAACTTGGCCAACTGTTGACTTATTTCATTTTCTCGAAGAGGGTTTGCTTAACAATTATTATAACCAAAGGGAACAGCAACTTTGCTAATCAATCAAAAACCAGGTTGATCAGCATTTTTTTAGTAACATTTATTTCTGAAAGCAGAACCGATGAGAGAGGTTGAAGAAGAGATTTCCTGCAGCATTGTTGAAGTTTAGCTCTCTCAGGTTCTTAAAAGATATCTCAGGTTATCACTTGCATGTAGCCTTTAAGTCTGTTTGAAAATAAATCAGAAAACTACAAGGAAAATAGAATTAGAAACCCTGCCTGGAACAGCTGGTATGGTTCAAACTGTAATACATATCATAGGCCACTTAAGATTCTAGGGTGAAAGCAGACTTGAAACATTTTTGTAGCTCCTGCAGTGCCTAACTCAGTATCTTGCATACGATCAGCTCAGTAAATCATAGCTAACATAGCGCTTTCTACATGCTAGGTACTGTTGGAGGCACTTTACATATAGTAAGTCATTTAATCCTTGCAACAATCCTATGAGATAGGTATTATCTTCATTTTATGAACGAGGAAACTGATGCATAGAGAAGTCAAATTACTTGCCTAAAGTCAGGCGACCAGAGCCAGAAACGGCCTTAGAAGCCCTGATTAGGCTGCGTTCTAAAACCAAACAGTCCTCTTCCACCTAACTGAGTGTCCCGCATTCATTCCCCAGGAATATCTGCTTTACCTAAGGAGCAGATGCAGTGTGCAATGTAACATAATCCATCTATTTGCTTTCTTTCTCAGGCTGTCAGTGGTGAAGGTCAGGAGGAGAGCTTGTTTGGAGCCCTCGATTATTGTCCTCATCATCTTTCTCTCCCTAATTGTCCTGACAGTGTGCACTGGACTCACTTTTCCTTATGTGAGATACAGTAAGTAGGGGCTGCCCTGGCAGACTGCAATTTACCTCAGATATTTCCTGATGTACATTCCTGTTTTGATTTGTTTCAAGCTTATTCATTCATTTCTGTAACTCATTTGCATAGCTAGTGCAAAGAATTCTTTACCTGCCTTGTCAATCGTTTAATCTTCACAAACCAAGGAGGAGTCTTTCTTCCATCTTTGATGAACCAATGCCTCCTGCTGGGAATAGCAGGCTAGTATTTATATTCCATAATAAGCAATAATCGAGCCTTAATTAAGGGAAGACCATAGGAAAGCTAGAGTCCAATGTTTTGTGTTATTGGAGGTCATAAGGCAATCACCTTGATTTAAAATAATAACTACAACTCATTGAAAATCCTGATAGCCCAATAAATTGTACAATCAGAGATCTTAGAGAAGTAGGCCCTATACTGTACTAGCAAGCTGGAAAAAGGCTCAAAGTGATATATTGTTGAATAAATGCCTACTTCTGTTATTTTAAAATCATCTTGGGATATATTGCAAGTAATTAAAGAGGATGAGATATGCTGAGAAGGTTAATTATAAAGAGATTCAGTCTGTGGTAATCGGGTACCTCCCTGCTAGATGAACTGTGAACACTGCTATGTCATTAGAAAGGTCCCCGGGGTACTTCAGAACTATTCTTCCAGGCATAACAACCCTTCTGAAGTTTCCTGCTAGTTGCCTCAGGTTTTAATGAGTTGACTCCACTTTGACCTATTGGTTTAATATCTCCCTTAGAGACTAGATAATGCTTTGATGTTCAAGATCCTCTAAGTGAAAAACGTAATCACTTGATTCTAATTTAATTGGGAATGTACAGGAAGTTGTTTTTCTATAAAGAGAAATGGCAATTGTAAATTGGTTATCTTCTTCTGCTAGCAGACATAAATCCAATCTTAATTTCCTAAATAAGGTAGATTATTTCTGGGTAGTTTAAAGAAAAAAATATTCAAAAGTCATTTTTTTTCCTGGTAGAATTTGCCCACACGTAGGTCTTTGAATTTGGAGTATGTGCATTTTGGTCATTTCTCTGGTACGTGTTTTTAATATAAGAAGAATAGCTAAAATAACTTCACAATTCTATAGTTCTGTTCGGGATATACTAAGTCCCATTATGTTATAAGCATCATTATTCATCTCCATGGATGCCTAGAACTATGTTTTATGCACTTTTGTATATCTGGAACTTAGCAGGATCCTGGCACATATTAGATACTTAATATTTATTGAATATTGAGTGATAAAAATGAATGAATCTGACACAACATTGTAAACTGACTATACCTAAATTTTAAAAAAGTTTTAAAAAATGAATGAATCACACCTATGATACTTGCTTGGGGCATATTTCGGTTTGTCTGATTTCACAAGGAATTCCTAGTATGGCGAAGGGGGTCTCATGGCCTCAGTAAGAGGAAATGTTCTTTACTACTTCTCATTTGTCTCTTCCCAATGCTTACAAATCTTCCTCATATGCATACAATAAAAATCTGGTTAGATTTTTCTAGTAAACTGTTCCTGTATATCCTATTGTTGGGATAATGAGCTGAATAATATGAACATACAAACTTCCACTGTCCACACAGCACACCTGAATAAACAGCAATTGTTCTGATATGTGTTACTGTCATATTTGTGACCTGAGCTCTGTTTACAGATGTAACCTAAGAACAGAGTAGATACAGCACATGAGCATTTAGGAGCTGGCCTGCCTAGATAACCAAACTAAGCCAAACAAATCTGTAATAGAAACACAGATAAAGATGGAGGTGATCAGACTTGGAAAAACATCACTTGGGCATAAAGCCCAGGACAGCATAAAACTGTGTATGTGATTTGTGTCCAGTGGCCTTTGGGACTTCATTTCTGTCCCCTCTGTGATTGGAATGGCAGCAGGTGAATCTATTATGAACAACATCATTGTAGGGTATAGATTCAAAAAGCTGTGAAAGTTATCAGCAAACTCATGTTTATCCTTGTTTTTCTTACCTTTGTGTTAACATTCTTAATAATATTTTCAACAGCTACACATGCCAAGTAATTCTGACAATTGGGAATATGTTTTGACACCTAGTGACATGTTTGAGTACAGGAGGGTAGAGGAAAAGCTATGTTGCATTAATTGTTCAGCAGAGCAAAAACATGGGCTGGTTGAACTGGATGCTAAAAATGGAGACAATGGCTAAAGGAGCGGACAAGCCAATTCCTACGGCTGGTGGGAGAAAATAAATGGAGTGACAAGGGGATCAGGTGAAACTAAGCAGGGTCCCTAGAGAGTTACGCTGGGTGACAGCTCTAGCTCCCTCAACTTTTATATACTGAACTCCAGCATTCTAATCCCTACCCTCACCTCCTTCTTTAGCCAAAATAAAAGTTCTTACACTAGCATCCTTGTGGCCAGAATTGGATGTGTAGTTTATAGAACTGGGAGAAATCTACTTTTGAAACATAAAAATGCATTTACTCTTGGGTAGCTTCTGAATCCATCCCTGTTTGTGTGGCTCAGGTGGAGTGACTTTCTGCTCCTTGTGGCTTATTCAGGAATGGATAACACATGACTAATTAGCCTACAGGAACACCAAGGATTTCCTATGGCTTTTACACTCAAGATCTTATAACGATGAATGGTGTTGTCTTTTACTCTTAGATGACCATGAAGCTTGGGGTAGGACGACGGAGATGATGACCTAGGTTAGGAACGATCTTTCCTCTCTCAGTCTGTCTAGCAACTAACAAATGGGGAAATGATGATGCTTACACACATCTGCTAAAAAGTATGAGGAGTTTTTGTCTCTCTCCTTATAGATCAAAGGAAGATCTACAGTTATTACAGCACATTATCATTTACAAGTGACAAGCTGTATGATGATTTTGAAAAAGAGGCTTCTAAAAATTTCACAGAGATGAGCCAGAAAATTGAATCAATGGTAAGCATTTTTTTCCCACTTCAATGGCATTTCTTATCAATTTTTAGTATAATTTTTAGTACCTTAGCTTCTCAAATTCAACCAATCTCATGTATCTTTGCAAGGTAGGAAGAGGCCCTACTTAAGAGATATAAACAAAATTGACATGACTTAAAAGAGTATGCCTTGCAGAGCTAAGCCTAGTGAGTGTTAGCCATTCCTTTTTGTCCCTCCTAACTGACCCCTCCTTAGCTAGTGCTACACTCTTGTTCAACAGAGACCAGAAATTCTGGAAATGTGAGGGTGACCCAAAACATAGTTGTTGTATCCTTTATTTCTTAAAGAAGAAACCTTGAGCAAAAAGGCCACAAGATTGAAACTATTCAGACACATAGTTGGATAGTATCTTAGTACCCAAAAATATCTAACCTTGGACCAGTTTTTAGTATGTAAGTTTGTAGGAAATCCTTGGATACTCATCTTTAACCCTAAGGCATCAACATTCAACCTGAGAGATGAATCAACTGTCATAAAAAGTGGGAAAATTAACAGTATAAGCCAAAAAAGCAAGAGCCTGGGCGATAACTTCTTATCATTGTCAGATTATTTAGAGAACAATTTGGACTCTTCCTGATAGTCTGGGAGGCAGTTAGTGGAATGTGTGATGGAAAGCATCCTAAACTGGGAGGTGGGACACCTAGTTCTAGTACCACCTATTAGCTAGTGACATGTCTTTTGACACATCTCTTTATCATCTGGAAAGACTCCCTTGTGTGAAAATTAAGGAGTTAGACTAGATAATTTCCAAATTGTCTTCCAGTTCCAATATCCTGAGTGCGAACAGAATGGCAATGATTCACCTGAATCTGCCTGGTAGACTCAGAAGCCTGAGAATTTGAATACTTTGCTCAGGTCAAATCTTGGTTGTTTCTGTACTTGTAAACACCAACTCAGGGAAATATTGAATAAACTCTTCTTAAGGAATCAACAAAATGTAAGACAAAAATAAAAGGGTTCAGTGGTTTTATCCATCAATCACTAGCTTGTAGTAACCAGCTTGTGTTTGGCAAATATCCATACAGTGAAAAAAGAAACACTTGACATGTTTACCTTGACTCCTAATTTAAAAATGTAAGTTGGCTGGAGTTCTTATTTGTAGTAGTAAGAAACATCTCTACAAAATACATTCTTTTACTCTATAGAGTACACCTCATAGGAAGTATTCCAGTTCACCTGGGCCTTCCTCAGAGCATTTTGAGTGGTGAACTGAGGGCAGATTTTGACAGGATATTTGGTAACTTTTTCAACAGGTTTGAGAGCCACGTGACACTGTTCTGCATTCATTTCTCCCTTCCCAATACTAACCAAGCCTAACCCTGCTTAGCTTGTGAGATCAGATGAGATAGTGTGTTTACAGTGGTGTGGCAGTAGATTGACTTATTTCTGTGACCCACTACTTGCCAGAGTTATTTCATTTCCTTTAGTCTACCTACAGAAAAAGTCTGTATCTCAGGGTGTGAACTCTCACTTTCCCCAAACCATCTCTTTCTGAGTATAGTGCAGCAGATGTCACTCCTAGCCCTCTGCTATGATTCCCTAGCAGAGTTCAGCTGAAATCACTGAGTAGAATACAAAGAAAAGATTTCTCAAAATTCCTCAAGTTCAGCACATTGTGAAATGTCAGTCAATGTGTTTTGTTTTTAAAATGTTTTTAAGCTTTGAAACAAATTGCAGAATTTCAGAAAATTAATCTTACTGACATTTTGAATATTTTTGGAACAGGTGAAAAATATGTTTCATAAATCTTCACTGAGGGACAAATTTGTTAAGTCTCACATTATCAGGTTCAGGTATGTAGATCTAAAATTCTGACTTCTGAATATAATTTAAAGCTAAGGCTATTAACCTGGTTAGTAATAAATACTGCTTGAAGTGTCAATGATACGATATAATTTAGTTCAACAGATATTCATTTGGTACCTGTCCTGTGTAAGTTATGGGTTACAATGTGCCTTATTCATTCTTCAAATCCAAAACAAACAAAAAAAAAGCATTTGCAAGATGCTTTCGAGGGACAGAAGTGTTATTGGTGGCTATGTTGTGGAATTATTATCATTATTTTTTGGAAACTCAAATTAGCGCAGGCACCTGAACTATATCTCTTGGTCTAATAGCAAATAATGCCCTGTGTAAACCTGTGCAGTGATGAGGTTTTTCTTCTCCTCTTGGTTCTCCAGCTTACCAATTTTCTTTCTTTTCTTCCATTCCACCCGTTTCTGCTACATATATTTAAGCTCTCAGGTCTGATAATCATCAACCAACAATAAATAGAAGTTCAGAACATACTACTTTAAGCAAAATACTATTTAAGAATCTTAAATAATATATTCTTAATAAAAATTATTTTTATTTTTCAAAAATAAAATAAGAGCTATTTCCAATATTATTTCCGTGATAAAAACTCCAAGTTACTTCTCAGTCTATTACTTAGCTGACATCTCTGAGGTGTTACTTTGACCAGTTTCTCCCAATATTTCCATACTTTCTAATGTTTAAAATATTATTTCTTGGGTATGTATCTGTTTCTTCACTTCTTAAATTTTTACTCTCTCAAAGGTAAAAAATTCATCCACGCACCTGGCTTCACATGCTTTTGAAATCCAAGTTTCTCTTTCCAATCTAAACTGTCTTCCTGATTTCTAGACCTATATGCCTGCTAGTCACATCTCCACATGGAGGTTTCACAGAAAGTTCTCAAACGCAGGGAAAACTTAGTCACACTAATGAGAAACCTAGAAGTCATATGATGACTTTGTATACACTTTGTGAATAATTAAATTCTACCTATTCTATCTTCCAAATCATTTTCTAATTTATTTTACTCTTCATCCCAGAAATCTTGCTAGTTATTAAGTCTTTCTTCTCTTACTACAGTTTGAGGAAGTGCAAGTTTGTTGCAAAGATAAAGTCAGTCTTAGAGTTGCTGAGTTGAGATACTTAGGGACCAGATAAGCCTGAAATATGAGTCTGATGTAGGGGAGGAAAAGGGAACTGAGCTGAAGACAGACATTTGCTTATCATCAACTAAGTATTGGGAAGTGTGGGTGTAAACATAACTTCAGAAAAGGGTGATGAAAGAAAAAGGACGATGAAGAAAGCTTGAAGAACAATATTTAAGGAGATGGAAGGAAACAGAAACTTAGGAAATAGAGGAGAAGCAGAAGAAAGAAGAATAGAGAGAGAGAGAGAGGTTCTGCTGGTGCTTAAGACAGAGTTTCAGGGAGGGGGTGGTAAGCATTGACAATACTCCCCAGAGACCAAGTAAAATGACTAGAAAGAATTCACTGGCTCTGTCAATGAGGAAGTCATTAGTGTTTAGGTAGAGAGCAACACAGTGGAACAGAAGGGGAGGAAGCCGACTGCAATGAAGTAAATATGAGGCAGAATGTAACTTACCCATTTAAGAAGGTTTTCTGTGATATGAAGGTGAAAGATAAATTGTATAGCTGGAGCAGAGGGAGGGTTTTGTTTTTTTTGTTTGTTTGTTTGCTCCTATTACTCAGCCAGTATGGGAATAGTTTAAGAGAAAGAAGAAAGAATAAATAATGGAGGTACAGGGTTGCTGAGGCTGTGAAGAGGGATGAGATAGATAACAATAATCTTTTTAAAGCCCTATTTGTTTCTTTTTTCAGATTACAAAAGTAATACAAAATTACATAAAATTCAAAAATACTATTACATAAAACAGAAAGCAAAAGCCTCCTCTCCAGTAATTTCACACCCAGAAATAACACATCTTGTTAACAATTTGTTGTTAATATTTTTTCAATGACTGCATATAGATCTATTTCATTCTTTAGCTGGTTGTATAGTGTATATCAGGGTTTCACTCTCAGAATATGTCAGGGTTGATTTAGCCAAAGCTCTTTTGATGGACACTTGGGTTGCTACATATTTTTCTGATTTAAAAACAAGGTTATGATGAACATGTAAGTACGTATCTCCCTGCACACACAAGAGTGTATTTAAAGATTAAATTTCTAAAAGTAGAAATGCTGTATCAGAGAGGATAGATAATCAAACTTATAAACAAAACTGCCTTCCAAAGATACATAAGAGATAATTTCCTAAAAAAAAAAAAGTAAAGTCTGGTTGAGCAACTACTACACATTGGGCAGATGAAAAAGAAAACCACATTGAAGAGGGTTGGAGAAACTGGGATCCAGTCTTGCCATAAGCCTCACCCCAGCACACCAGGAAAAAAAACCTCAAACCCCAGGGTTCTCTCCAATGGGCAAAGAGTTTGAAACCCATGAGGAGGCACCACAACTTCTACCACCTGCACTTGAGAGATGAGCCTCTAAAACATCTAACTTTGAAAACCAATGGAATTCAAGTTCTGAGACCCACAAGATTGTAGCTGTTGAGGAGGTGGCTCTTAATGGGCCAATGCCTCGGACTCACCTACCTCAGGGCTTAGCCCAGAGGCTGCCAATTGCACCCAGACTAAAAGGGAACTGACTGTATGTGAATAGGAAAGGTAGAGTAGCCGACAGAGAATGAGAAAGAGTAATCAAAGATGATTTCAAAGTAGTAATTCATCTAAATAATGCTAAGGCTAATTAATGCTCTATCTTGAAAATACAATCACATGAAGTCAAGACAATTTGACTAAGCTTTCTAATATTGTTAGGGTTAGGAGTTGTTTAGGCGACCTGAAGTTTGCTTAGGAGAAATCACTGGATTTATACCCCTGAGGATTAAGCCTGAAAGCCAAAGCCAGAGCTGACTTTATACTGACTATATATTGTACTTTATAATTCTGTGTGATTGACAAGAGAATTGCCTTTTTACATTAGTAATCCATGTACTTAACTAGATCCTTTGGTGGTTAGGGAGACCATAAGCATATTAGCTATCAGAGAGGCTAAGATGGGAGTTCTATATGTGGTAAACAATAGGAATATAGAAGAAAACAAACTGGAAGTTTTAAAATTGCATTTATGGATTTGTTTTTGTGTGAATGTGTTTCAAATGAATGATAAAAATAATGCAGTGTGATATTACCATAAATCTCATTATGAATTATACCTTTTAAAACCACATTTTTATTTCTTTATTTATTTTTCGGCCCACAGTCACAGGGAACATAGAGTGTTGGCTCATATACTGCTGATTTTTAGATTTCGCTCTACTGAGGATCCTGAAACCACAAATATAATTATCCAGCATGTTCTACATGAAAAGCTGCAAGATGCTGTAGGATCCCCTAACTTAAATCTTGAGTTATTTGTACTTAAAAGTAAGTTTATTTCCTCTTATTTAGTTCAATTCTCTTACATACAATAGCTCCAGGAAAAGTTTGGGCATTGATTTTAAAAAATTGTGCTTTGGATGTCTTTTATTATGGAGTCTTGCCTCCAGCAGAACATTTCTTTGTGACTAAGTTGGTCCAAAGGAAGTTTAAAAATTTTTAATACCACCCTAAACTTATGCCACCCATGCAAGTCTATCAGTAACTCCTGAGCCTGGGTTCTTTGTCTACGTTGGGTTTTTCACTTTAGCTATAGAATCCAGTGATAAATGGGAGAAAGCTTCTTTGTATATTTATCCTTCTTTTTCTTGTTGCTGACATTTTATGTCCTGTGAGTATGATGTGTTGAAAGGTTCATGCCAGCCACATATTTGCTTTCAAATGTCATTAATATACCTTGTTGCCTGCTTCCAGGTTACCAATGAAAAGTTTATAATTTATTTTTTGATATAACTTATTTTTGGTATGTTTTACAACTAATTTGTAAAGTCTGATAATTTTGTGTGGTTGGTGTACTTGTTTTTTTTGTCAGGGCAGGGGGACAAAATAAGCAGTGTTAGATCTTCATGACTAGAAAGTAAGGAACATAGGCGATCCTTAGTGGAAATAAAAACAAGCTAGTCTGTAGAAATACTATGCCTGCTACATGTGCTATCTTAAATTTTCTTGTAGCCACATTAAAAAAAGTAAAAATAAACATGTGAAATACATTTAAATACTTACACATTTAACCCAATATATCCAAATTAGTACTATTCCAACAAGTAGTCCATGTAAATATTATTCGTGAGTATTTTTTGTACTAAGGCTTTGAAATCAAGTGTATATTTTATATTTATAGCACATTCCAATTTAGCCACATTTCAAGAGCTCACTGGGCACATGTGGCTAGGGAATACAATATTTGAAATGTCAGCACTAGAAGCTACAGGATAGGGGTCAAGTAGAATGAATACAAAGTAGTAGTATAAAAGCTGGTAAACCAAATTAGAGGCCTAACCTGGTGGTCAGCCCCTCTACTTACTTAGAAAAAGAGGCTCATTAGTCAGGGCTATCTACATAATTTGTGGATCCCAGTGCAAAATTAAAGTGCTGGACTCTGAAAAGCAATAAAAATGTGCTGTTAAAGGTACTAAAATATAAAACTTTTTCTTCTTTCACAGTCTTTTTCGACTTGTGATGGTATTTTTATTTGTTAATGAATGCTATTCTAAGTGAAAAAAATTAAAATTACTAGCATGAGCTTCGCTGTTCACCTTTATATTGTGATATATCAATTTCAAATGTAAATATAAAAGTGTTTAACTTTTATTTGGAATAATAAAAATATACAGCTGTATTTCACAGCTCATACATACATGTATTTTGGTTACCAGATCAATGGAAACACTACACAAGTCTAGATCACACTTTTTAAAAAACTTTTCTTGTTGATACTGGCACATTTTACCAATGCTCTCTACCTTCTGTTTATTTGACAAAGGACCAAAAGTTCCCTCTATGTCATTATTTTCAGCAGAAGCTACTGGCTAATGCAAAGAAGTAACAGGAGCAAGAAAGAATGTGCTAGGGTCCCTTGGTCATTTATGTTAATTAGAATGCCAACGCCTTCTTTGGCATTCAAAGCAAGCTCTGTTTCAAACAAAAACTGCCAGTGTCCTCTACTTACTTAATGGTAGGCATCACATACTCATTTTGTACTCACTTTGAGTTTGCTGAACATTGTGGGTCCGCTGGAATTCTTAGTTCACAGGGTATTGTGAATGGTATAAGCAAATGGCGTGGCAAGAACCCATGGACACATTGTGTATTCCTCTGCTCATGCCATGCTCTATTATCCTATCAGGCTTCATTTCCAAGCACAAGTTATGAGACAACAATTATTAAGAATTTCAAGACAGTGAGCATTAAACCCAGTGTAAGTTCATGAGTGCAGGACCCAGTGCAGACACACAAGTCACACATCCGTGAAGTCAGTCCTGTCAGTAGTATTGTAAAATGCCAAAATTCAACCGAATAAATTTAAAGATCTAATTGGCTTTATTTAATGAGTCATGAATCAGGCAGCACCACACCTTAGCAGATAGATAGGAGCTCTGAGTTGCTGTACAAAATGGAAGACATTTATAGACAGAAGGAGGTTGGGCAAGGAGGCTTTCTAGCAGAGTAGATTGTTTCAGGCAAGGGCACCTTCTTTTGCAAGTAGATTTGCAAATCTATCAGGCAGATTACTTCACTAGTGCTGACCAGGTAATGCCAGATAGACTGATGAGCGGTTACATTCTTGGGATAGATGGAAACCACAATTAGGCTACATATTAAGTCTTAATTGCTGATGTGGGGCTTAGAACAAGTGACTCTACTTGGGGTCCTTTATTACTTTTTTTTTTTTTACCAGTAGCAACATGAAAAGCCAGCATTTTCTCTAGGGAAAGCTTGAGATAGAGAACACATTATTGAAAAAGGAGATTAGTGGTGGTGTTTTTAAATATTTACTGAGAATAAATGGTCACTTCTTCCTTATTTTTGTCATTTTCCTCAAATATAGCCATAATGGAGAAAGTCAGAAGGAAGCCTCTCTAGAATACAGATTTTTTTTTTGTAAATCAGTACTATTAAATACTATAAGAAAAATTAACATTATTTTTTTTGCAGTTAGAACTCCCATCTTGCCACGTTCAAAGGAAATAGGTTTGGTCATTGGAAATCTACTGAGTCATGAAATTTGAGTGCTTAGAGTTTGATGTAACTGTTGGTTTAGTATCTGGATAGGATTAGGGCCTAACTGTTGAGAAATCAACAATCTAAGGAGTCATTGGCTAGTCAATTTCAGGGCAAACTGAATGGCAATTTGAGGGCAAATTGTCTTGCTAAAACTTGAGCAGAAAGAAGACCTGTAAAAGGATAACATTGTTTTAATTTTTAAATTTTTCTCTCCTTTCTTTGTTTTCTTTTTGTATATATATCTATTTATTTATTTTTATTTTTTAAATCAAAGCATAGTTGATTTACACGTCAGTTAAATAGCAAAGTCATTCAGTTATACTTATATCTACATCTATTCTTTCTCAGATTATTTTTCATTATAGACTATTACAAGATATTGAATATAGTCCCCTATGCTAAACAGTAGGTCCTTGTTGTTCATCTGTTTTATATATAATAGTGTGTTATCTTTTAATCCCAAATTTCTAATTTATCGCTCCCCTCCATAACACTGTTTTTAATAACATAGGAGTGAGGACTAATTTAGGGGCACACCACTTAGATATGTTATACAAATGGAACTATGTCTATGAGTTTAGTAAAAAAAAAATCTGAAATAATGGTCAATAAAAATATCACTGTATTTGGGGGATCAGCACTATAGAATGGCACTGCCCGCAGAGAGGCTGTGGAACATCTGCACCTGCTGTAACGCTCAGGTTCCTGCCTCTCAGCACAGAGCTGCCAAATTGGAATTACCGGGGAGGAGCAGGCGTTTACAGCAACGACACTCTCTAGGTGACTTTCAGTCACACTTAAGTTTAGGAAACATTGTTCAAACCTCCCTTCTCCTCAAGGCAGTGAACATACTAAGTCTATGATAAACTACCTGTGTTCCTTGTTTGTTTGTTTGTTTTTTAAACAATCTAGAGCTATTATCTTATAATGGAATTGAGCAACCTTTAGTTGTTGAAGTATTCAGAGGCATTATGTAATTCTGATATGCTGACCCTGTTCTATTCACCATTTCTGTGTTTCAGAAATCAACAAGACAGAAACAGACGACTTTCTGAGCAATTGTAAGTTTAATACATTATTTATTAAAGTTGCATTACCTGAATGTAAAAAGTTAACTCTAGATTATTTAGGCTTACTTTGTTGGTATTATAGGGTCAGAATAAAGTTTGATCTGTACACATCTATGGTGTTTTATCTTATATTTGAGGCACATTTTATTGCAAAAGGATAAAAATTGGGAGGGCTTTGGAACAGATGTGTGGAGCCAGTGGCAGATGTGTAGTGGAAGTGAGTTGTGCAGTTTTTCAAGAAAAGGCAAAAAAATTCTTACTGTTTTGATTGCAGATATCTACAATATACCCTCATGAAAGTTTTCTAAAGATTATATAAAAGCGGTCTGTATGTTGATATTTTTTCAGCTAGAGAGAGAAGCAGTGTTACTGTACACTAAATAAAATCTTGATAATATTAATTCCATATTATAAAAATTGCAGACAATTATGAGATTGGGGTATATAGTGATGAAATTACTGAAGGTCCAGATAATACCTTCACCCATATTTTAAAAGTGCCGACTCTAGGCCTAGTGTTTCCCTTCCTCTATAGCATAGTACCCTACCCTGATTTAGAGAATACATTTCATAGTCAACAGAATTAGCGCACAATACATTTATCTTGAAAGTTGGAAGGAAATGTGCTACTCACCAGCTCAGAATGTTGGTTAGTTCACAAACCTAACTAAACATAAAACCAAAGGATGATCTCATTACCCAAACAGCATATATTTTTGCCACCATTATTTATTGGAAACCTGCTATGTGCCAGTGCTGTGTTAGGCAACAAGAATATAATATATATGTGTATATATTCTAGTACTAATATGTTAGTATCATAAGCATATATATAATATATTACTAATATATATCAGTAGAAATATATAAATGGAGATATATGTACATATGTATATACACACACATAGAAAGAAAGAGTATTACTATTTTTATTATTATTCTGTAAGAATCAAGAAAGTTGTAACTAGTCCAGTTTGGAGGCAGGGGAATTATTAGAGAAGGCATTCTAGAGGAAGTAATGACTGATTTAACTCTTACAAAATGAATAGGAGTTAAATATGAAACACTACAATTTAAGGAAAGGTAAGAGTAGGAAAAAATGTTTGATACTACTGGAATACAAAGTATAAGAAATTTGAGACATAATGACACAATTTGATACTTAAAAGCGACTGCTAACTAATGCAACATCTCTCTTTGGCAGGCTGTGGGACACGAAGGAACAAAACTGCAAAATATAGGGTCATGGTTGTTGGTGGGACAGAGGCACAAGAGGATGAATGGCCATGGCAGGCTAGTCTGCGATGGGATGGGAGACATCGCTGTGGAGCAACTTTAATTAATGGCACATGGCTTGTGAGTGCTGCCCACTGCTTTAGAAGGTAACTCCTGATCCATGAGAATGACTGAGGGTCAGCAAAGGATTGTGGGCTTGGCAGGAAGGAAATACCTCATGAGAGACGAGTTCAATATAAATTAAAGATAATACATACATCACAAAGAGAGCGGGGAACTCATAAACCTTAGTAAGAGGTTTTACAGTCTGGCAATGGAAGTGACATCAAAGAACATGTAGATAAATTATCCATTGACAACCACACAACAGTTGGTCAAAAGAAGAAGGAATTTTAAAGTCATCTTTGGATTTGGAGCTTGGTGTCAAAGAGAAGAGCTGTATATCTCTGCTGCATATCTATCAGCAATGGAGGCCAGGTAGATTATAGGTTTGACACCAATGGGGAAATTCCACATGGTAAGAAAAAACTTAAATATGAAAAAAATTATGCAACTGAATAAGCTGACTAGTTATATTTCAAGGAATTTCAATTCAATCTTCCAATCCAGTGCAAAATGTCTACAGTATATAGGATAAGTAATGCTTTGTTAAATTATTGTGCACCATTTTTGATTTTTTTTTTAAATGAAGGTACTAGGGATTGAACCCAGGACCTTGTGCATGCTAAGCATGTCCCCTGACACTGAGCTATACCCTTGCCTCCAGCATTTTTGATTTTTAGAGAATTGTGTATGTTCATAGATAGGCAACATGGTGCACATAGAGTAAGATATTCTGTTCTCTCATTCTGTCCAGGATATGCTCTCCAAATGCCCCTTGGAGACACTGATGCCCAGCAATGTCAAACATCCCTAGGATCTAGAGTGGGTGACTCAACATGCAGAGAGGCATGCATAGCCTGAGAAACATGCCACTATGGTATTTCCACAAGATCTGTCCTCCGAACCTTAGCTTGGAATTTGTTTCTATATATAGAAACTATAATTTAAAAAATAAAACTTATATTGACACCTGTCCACTGAATTATTTAATATAAATGGTTATACTGATAACATGTACAAAGTGAAATTTGTTCCTTATACATTCTCCTCAGGTATAAGGACCCAGCCAGATGGACTGCTTCCTTTGGAGTAACCTTAATGCCTCCGAAAATAGAACGAGGCCTCCGGAGGATAATTGTCCACGAAAATTACAAATACCCGTCACACGACTATGATATTTCGGTTGCAGAGCTTTCTAGCCCCGTTCCTTACACAAATGCTGTACACAGAATTTGTCTCCCTGATGCATCCTATGAATTCCACCCTGATAATGTGATGTTCGTGACAGGATTTGGAGCACTGCGAAATGAAAGTGAGCATCTGGGAGAAAGTCAAGTCATAGTTATCTAATTCGGTATTCTAATGCATTTAAAGAATGGAATGTCATTATGCCGAAATATGTTGATGGTTGGTCATGTGGACGTGGGCCAAGCCAGGCTCTACTTGTGAACCAAGTCATTTAGAAGACACGTAAATTCCTTCATGCCTTAGGTTACTACCAAGTTCATCACTACTACTATAGTCATGGTGCTTGGTAAGGTGTTTGAAAGAGTTAATATGTCTGAAATTTGTATTAGGGAATTAACTACATCAGAGATTAGGGATCATTAACACACATACCCAATTGTGAGGATCAGAGATTCATAAAGCCACCATTCTCACCTACTGAAATTACCTTCTAAGCCCAACAATGGAATAAAAATTACTTTAACAACTTGAGGTCCTTTCCTAGGCACCTAACTTTTCATTTAAAATAGAAAAAAATTTTCACAAATATTACTGTATCTGACAAAATACATATCCTAAGATTCTGTGCCACCATCTTATCCAGTAGTTATAAAAGATTTTCTTCAGGTTTACAGAATATATGTATATCTATTAATATAAAGTCTATTTTTTCCCCTTTAGATATCAGTCAAAATTGTCTTCAGCAAGTACAAGTGGATTTTATTGACACTGAAACCTGTAACCAACCGCAAATTTACAATAATACCATAACTCCTAGAATGTTATGTGCTGGCTCCTTGAAGGGAAATAGAGATGCATGCCTCGTAAGTGGTTTGCTGCATAACTTTTTGTTCACCTTTTACTTTAAAATAATTATAGCTTTACAGGAAGTTGCAAAGATAGTATAGAGAGGCCCTTCAATCAGTTTTTCCCAATGGTTATATCTCACATAACTATAGCACAATGTAAAGGCTAGGAAATGAACCTTGGTACAATGTGTGCTTCTAGGTTTTGGGTTTTTTTTTTTTTAACACATGTGCAGATTTGTGTAATCATCACTGCAGTTGAGAACTCTTCTATCAGCACAGAGGTTTCCCTTTATAATAACATTCACTCTCCTCACCCACCACTTCAACATCACTAACACCTGAGAATCACTAATATGTTCTTCATCTCTATACTTTTGTAATTTTGAGAGTGTCATGTAAACAGAACCATACAGTAACCTTTTTTTTTCAAGAATTCCATTTTGATTTAGCTATTTGTGTTTTTGACCTACAAAAGATTCTCTCTGTAGAAAAATTGTGTGGTTCCTCTTAGCTAAATACACATAACTTATCAACAGTCTACTGGTGTTGGAATTTTACTAGTTTGAGTGGAGTTTAGAATAGAAAACTTACCTCCCCTTAAGGCTCTTTACCCTTCCTCATTATAATATTGAATATTAATAAATACAAAGACTAAATAGTTCTCCTTTATATATTGAGAGCCACAGCAGACAATGTTTTTGATTCAAGTGCCAAACATAACTTAGAAAACTCAAGAGGAGAAGGGAGGTCTGTTCTTTCTTTCCTTCTGGTTTTCTAAGGTTCTTCCTTTATCATTTCTTTTCTGTTTCAGAACTTCCTTTAGCCATTCTCTTGATGTAGATCTGCTGGTGAAAAATTTCCTTAGATCTTTTTTTTCTTCATTTTCAAAATTTTTTATTTCTTATGCAATTCTAAAGTGTGATTTTTGCCAGATACAGAATTTAAGATTGACAGTTCTTTTTTTTCAGCACTTAAATCATGCCCTCTGGGATTGCTGATGAGGATTCCCCTGTTAGAATTGTTTTCCCTTTATAGGTGAGGTGTCATTTCTCCCTGTGTTCAAGAATTTTTCTCTGTCTTTAGTTTTCAGAAGTTTGATTATGTATCTTAGCATGGCTTTCTCTGGGCTATCCTGTTTAGAGTTTGCTCAGCTTTTCAATCTGCAGGTTTACGTCCTTTGATAAATTTGGGAGATTTTCAGCCATTTTTTTCTTTGAATACTTTTTCAGCCCTATACGTTTTTGTCTCTTTCTGGGACTCTAATGATAGGAATGTTACCTCTTTTGCTATACTCTCAGAGGTCCCTGAGTTCTTGTTCATTTTTTCTTTTCTGTTCTGCTTTTCCTCTGTTGTTCAAACTGAGAAATTTCTATCATTCTATCTTTAAGTTTACTGATTTTTTTTCCTTCTGTCATCTTCATTCTTCTCTAAGCACATATAGCGAAGTTTTCTTTTGATTATTATATCTTTCAGTTCTGAGACTTTCATTTGATCCTTTATATATGGTATTTCTTTGCTGAAACTTCTTATTTTTTCATTTTTTTCAAACATGATGGTACATGTGGCTACCTCCTCCTAAAATATGATCTTTCTTTGGGTTCTATGATCCTGAAATATGCTGACTTCCTAATCTCCCTCCTTCTTCAATCACTCTTTTCTGGTTACTTATTATGGTTTCTCTTTCTCTCCCTCTCTCTAAGTTTGGCTATTCCTAAGGAATCTTTTCATTTTTTTTTCTGCTGTCTATATACTCACTCAAAGAAATTATCTTTTCTTTTCTTTAAATCAGATGTCACTTTAGTGACTTCCAAACCTATATTTCCAAAATCAACCTCTTGCCCAAATTCAGTCTCACATTTCCACCCACTTCAAAACCATTTCCATTTATATATTTTAAATTGTTAGTATAAGACTAAAATGTGTGTATGTGCCATCTTAAACTCAACAGGCATCATGAACTGTTACCTGTTTTTTCATTTTCAACTTTCTCATTTGTGTTGTTGGATCTTATTATGCTTGGAATCTTCTTTTACTCTTAAATCTCCTTCACGTGTAATCAAGTAAGTTATAGAATATTTTTCCCCTTTACCATTTCTTCCAAATTTATCTCTTTGTCTCCATTCTTTCTGTTAACATCCTCATCTAGTCCATCATTACTTCATATTTTGATCACCTTAATTGCTTCCCGGTTTGACTTTCTTTTTCTCGTTTTAAAAGTTTCTGTTGTGGTATATATATATTCTTGAATAAACTTCTTGTTCTGTTTCTCACTAAACCGCTCGCTAAAAATAACTGGATTTATGAGAAAAATAGGGTTAGATACAGACCAAAAGCCCCCCTCAAAGGCTGTGCAATTTTGTAAGCAGAGAATTAACAACACAATTAACTGGACCTTGAAAAGCAACGTGGACAGTGCAGGTAGGCAGAATGCCCGGGGTGACTGGTGGCTGACTTAGAGGAAGTTAAAAATGCACAGAAACAACAGAGTAGAAATACCAGCTTGCAGAGGCTTAGACAATGCCCATGGGAATGTAGCTTCAGTAGAGGAGGAAGTGTAACCTGCCAGGACCCAAGAATTAAGCAAGTCTGGGGTGTGTCTCTCTGGGCAGGGAGAAGGTTCCCAGGCACAGGGATTCTTTTAACATTTTCTTAAAATAAAGCCTCAAAGGCTTCTGCCTATGCAGTAGTGGAGCTGAGACCTTTTCCTTTTTTTTCCTGAAGATTGTAATTCTACTCCCATTATTCTGTCCTTTACTAAAACAAAACACGTGTAAGTCATCGCAACGTCCATACTCCCCTTTTCCTTTTTCCTCGAGTGTGAGCTAACTAGTGTTAGCAGAGCAGATTACATCTTTCTCTATTTGATACTTGCTGGATGTCACCTTATTTTCCAGCTTGTAAGGCTGTTAGACACACTGCTGTCTTTTTTTCTCTAATTACTTTATTCTCAGACTCATTTGCTCCTGTCTCTTAAACAGATTTAAGCTTTGCTGTCTCTGGCATCTTCTATTTCTTTTTCCTAATCTGCTCTGTCTTCACAGAGGCCTGGGTTGCAATGATCAAACTGGTTTGTTTTCAAATAGCTTCTTATGGTACATCTTACGCCTATAAGCAGATTGTACACTCCTTGAGGGAAGGGCACATGTGTTTATACTTTTTTACGTCTCCCACCACATATGAGAGTGTAAGTAAGTACTTATCAGTAAACTGATTTAAAAACTACAAACACAGTATTTAAAATTAAGTTAGTATTAGAATTAGTTAATATTTTTATGTGGACAAAAGAAAATTCACAAGGAAGTTAGTATCATGTAGGGGAAGAAAGCATTTGCTTCTGAATTAGATCACTCTGGATCCATTCTGCCACCGAATAGCATGTGACATCAGGCAAATTGCTTAATTTCCACTAGTTTCAGTTTTCCTGTGGCTAAATTGGAGAAAATGAGCCCTACCTCCATGTTTGGTTGCCGGAATTACATGAGTTAATGAGGTAATATATCAATTAATCAAGAGCTTCATGGGGTGTTGACGGGTGGTCAGTGAATAGAGACTCCAGGATTTTTCAGAAAGATCATCCAGTACCTTGTTTTTATGACTTGTATAAAGAAACAGTCCTCTGGAGTTTGCAAGACATAAACAATTGTGTGGAATTTGTGATTTTATATACATATTTACTAAGTTCTGTTTTGTGCCAGGCTCCATGCTAAGCACATTACATACACTGTCTTCCGTAATCTTCAAAATTGTCCTTGGAGGTAGGTATTATTAGAAGCATTACAAAGAAGTAAATTAAAGGTCTTAGCTTGGAAGGGCCAGACTTGAGATTTAAACCCAGGTGTCTGACTTTAATGTCCATGCTTTTCATCGGTAATAAACCCTTCACCTTTCTTTTGGGAACTGTGTCACACTCATAAAGAAAACGGACAGTTGTTTTGACGGATGTATCAGATAAGTACCATTCTGCAAAGAGATGGAGCCTTTAATCTCAGTGTTCTGAACCCTGAGTCTAAGCCAGTTCTCCAGGTAGGGGAGCTCCTCCTTACCGTGAGTCACTGGCATAGGTAGAGAGGAGCACATAGAGGACTTTTGAAAATCGCCCTTTTCATTAAACTCAAATTAGAAAAGTAGTAGATTTCTCTGTAACGAACTAAATTATTAATGACTACGTTCTCCCTTTTCCTTTAGGGTGATTCCGGAGGACCACTGGTTACTCCAGATGCTAGAGATACCTGGTACCTTGCTGGAATAGTGAGCTGGGGCGATGGTTGCGGGGCACCCAATAAGCCCAGCGTTTATACTAGAGTGACTGCTTTCCGGGGCTGGATTGCTTCCAAAACCGGCGTCTAGGAGAGAAAAACCCAGTAGAGTAGAACACATTTTTATATACAGGCCATTCTTAAAGATACAGAATTGCAGAAGAAGCCTTGCAGATCACCTACATTTGTCTGATCGAACTGAACTGTCTGCTTGTATGTGCATATATTTCCTTCCTAACTTCTGCCAGATGGATTCCATCCCAACTTGCATTCACTTGTTCTCTAGAAGTTTACTGTCATCCGATTTTAGCTTGTTAACATCAATTTCTCATGCACGTACACAATTTGAAGTGATCCCTTCCTTCATTTCCTCAGCTTCTCTCATATCAGTAAATTTCCACTTTCAAGGTGTAGGACAGAGACTGAAAGGAAATATGAAAAGGAAAGAACTACATTTTTCATGTGTAGAAAAGCATTAGTTTCTTTTTCTTTATGGAATGAGGAAAATGATCATAATCATTACGAAAGGTCAAGCAAACAGACAACAGAATACCAAATACTTCTTGATGGAAAAAGAATGGGAACTAAGTTAAGGAACTAAAGAGAAACCAAGATACAGCTTTATTTTCATTTCCAGCAAACAACTACAGAGATAAATGTGGGGAAGATTCTGCTTTCTTGTGGCCAACGCTAAGTATACAAACTCTATATAATGGGCTTATTCTAAGTTCTAGCAAATAATAATTATTTAACATTGCACTACTAAGAATATCAATATTTAATAATAAGAAGAATAAATAATCATAATAATAAATCATCCTTTTACTTGACATTATGATAATTGATGAAGAAGGGAAAGATGGGGAAATGTCAATAATCAATTTATTGCAAATTCTTTTAAAATTTGAAAATTCACTAGAATGAAAATTCACTTAAGATCAACCAGCATACCTTATATGGTGAGATTTTTGTACAGTTGAATAGGAGGGAATGAAGAGAGATTCAGTGCAAACTAATGGATGAAATAGGATTATGACTAATTGCTTGTGTATTTATATTTAAAGCTTTCCCAAACTGCAAAGCCTTGAAGGGGAATAAGGTCCAGGTGTTAGTGTGTAATTGCAGCTGTGCAAATAAAGCTGGAGGTCGGACCTCTATTTTGAGATGATTGCAGGTTCCTCCCCCTACCGCATTTGCACTCCACACTTGGACCATGGGCCTCTTAGACTCCTCTGGGCTTAGATGGAAAGATATCAGAGGGAATTCATCCTGGAAACTGCCTCCCTGTTACATCTAGCATGGCACCGAGTTGCTCATTGCCTGGACAGAAAACTGAAGAGAAAGCATAATATCAACCATCTTCATAATTTTGGCTTTGGTAAACCACTACTGAGTTGTTAGAGACACAACATTCAAGTGACCTGGGCCATTATGAAGTAAGCACTGGTGCCATGGCACACGTACATGTTAATGGTGAGATTTCACTCAATCTTTCCATTACCCTTTCCTCATCGTATACAGCTACTCATACAAATTCTGTATTGTACCATAACCACTTTGAAAGTAACATTAGTAGGAAAAATCTGGCATTTATTAGCCCAAATAACATTGGCATATGAACTGATCAAATTTTAGGCACTTGGCTAAAATAAGGTATGAAATCTGACAAGAATCGACAGTGTTAAACATGTTGCATAAGCTGTTTTTATTCTATTTAATGAAATACTTTTTAAAAATTGAGGAAAATGATGAATTTTAAACAAAGACAAGTACATTTCAAACCACATTACTCTCAGTGTTCTGTTAAAAACTGATTCCCCTTGGAGTATGTTTTGCAGCTGGGACTCTAGATGGCACCCACAGCTATAGGTAGATACAGGGAAGAAAGACGTCAGGACCATCAAGTAATAATGAAAACTGCAGTAGACATTCTATGTTAGGGTCTTGTAAAACAGAAAGAATACAGTTCATCTTTGCAAAGGCGTTTAAAAATGAATCCAGGTAAACTGGCATTATGAATAGTATTTTTCAGGTATCTAGAGGTGAGTTTCCAAACTAAAATAAAATTTATAGCCATGTGATGTGAGTAATTTCTTCTGCAAATACATTTGAAGAGATTTAAATTAAGGACAAATTTTAGATGTTTAATTTCACAATGGCATCATATTTCTCAGGGAGATATATATATTTTTTTTAATGAAAGATTTGAGAAGTAGAGTTAAAGCCATAGTGAATATGTGAGCAATAGCTGAAACTTTATGTGCACAGAGAAATAGATAATACAGTACTGGATTTTTTAAATGACAGCTTCTTTTGAGAGATAACATATAAAAGTTTCAGCATTCTTGGACTTGTCTGTTTTAACCACTTCATTGGAAAAGTTTAAGAAGTCATGGCTGAAATAATACTTATTTATTGTGGAAGAAAGCAGGCAGTTCCTCAGCTACGTCTTTTGTCTCTCTTCCTACAGCACCTAGTGAAGTGCCTTGTGCATAATAGTCTTTCAATAAATGTTGTTGAACTACCTTTTTACTTTTGTATTATTTAGAAAATACAGCTTTATTATTTTTACACACTGATTTTTAAGAAATAATCCCAGATTTTACACTAAATATGTGATTTAAGCCAGTTACATAAACACTCTTAAGTCTCAGTATATTCATTCATAAAATAAGGATAATAATATTTACCTCAAATGACTGTAGTGTGAATTAGAATGAGATAATATTTGAAAGTGCTTCTCTAGCAAAGTTCTTGGAACATAGTAGGTGTTCAAGAAATGGTGCTATTATAACTGTTACTGTAATAAAACTACAGTCTTGTTTTATATGATTGCTACTTGACTATTTTGACTATAATAGGTTAAATAATTATTTTTGAAACATAATTAGAGCAATAGAATGGGCTTGTTTCTTCTTTAATTCTGATTCTGCAAAAGAAGTTTTATCGGGATCACTCTAAAACATTCTGTCAAGTTGCTCTCCGACTGTTATTCTAATTTTTCATTTCAACTTTCAAAAATGATAAACCTTATTAACCATGGAGTGCCTGGATCATATCAAGATCTACAGTCTAGTTCAAATGATGCCTCCTCTGTGAAGCTTTCCTTAACTCCCTCAAGTGGCCATAACATCCTCTTTTCTGAAATTCCTTACCCACTTAAAAACAACTTTTTTATTTTCAGATAATCATAGACTCATGTAGAGTTGTAAAATATAATACAGAGAGATCCTGTGTATCCTTTATCCAGTTTCTGGAAATGGCAACATCTTGTTTAGCTATAGTACAATATCACAACCAGGAAGTTGACAATGAGGCAATCTATCAACCTTTTGAGATTTTATCAGTTTTTAAAACATATAATTATGCATGTGGATGTGTGTGTATGTTCCATGTGTCTCACATATGGATTTGTGTGCCACCACCACAGTCAAGATGCAGAATAGTTTGATCATAAGGATTCCTCCTATGATCCAAACACCTGGCTCCCTCCTTAGCAGCATCCCCAGTCTCTAACCCCTGGCAACCATTAATCTATTCTCCATCTATATAATTTTGTCATTCCAAGAATGGTATATGAGTGGAATCATAAAGTATGTAAACTTTTGAGGTTGGCTTCTTCACTCAGCATGATTCCCTTGATATCGATGCAGGTTGTGTGTGTCAACAGTTTATTCCTTTTTACTGCTGTGTATTATTCCACAGCCACAGTATGGTTGTACCACAGTTGGTTTACCATTTATCCACTGAAGGGCATTTGACTTGGTTATAATTTTTGGCTACTGTTAATAAAGGTACTATAACATTTGTGTTTAGCTTTCTGTATGAACATAAGTATTCATTTCTTTGGGATTAATGGCTTAGAGTGCATTCATGGTCATATAGTAAGCTTATGTTTGATTTTTGAAGAAACTGTCATATTCTTTTCAGATGATTTCTTACCATTTTTAAATCTCTCTGTACCTCTACTCTCTCCCCATATTTTAAGACATGTGTGAATAGATCTGATTTCAACACTACACTGTAAACTCTGTGGGGGTAGGGACCATGACTAACTCATTTTTATAAACTTCACAGTTCATAAGAAAGTATATTTATGGCATATGCTCAATAAAGATTTATTAAATTAAGAGGGAAGATAGTAATAAAAACAAGCAAACATGGCACTGTATGTAAAATGAAAAAGAAGACGTTAGTTTGGGTAGAAAAGAATGAACAATATTGCATAATGTTTTCATGAATGTATTATGTCTTAATTTCTATAATTCTGGACTTTACCTACAAGTATCTCATGCAGGTTGATGTAAAATCTTGTTTTCCACTTTCCCACATGATACCCAATCAAACATAGACTAAAGGTATGATTTAGATGATGACTCTATTCTTGTGCCTAAATAAATTTCCTGATACATAATACACTTAATGGTATCTGTATCAGCTTCTATACTGTAGTTGTGAAATGGATTTCAGTATAGAGATATACTCAATAAATATCTGTTGCTCTTAATTTGTGTAACCATGACACTATAATTTGCTTGTCCTAATATAATTTTTATTATATTGGGGAGTGAAATACAGAGAGAGGCCTGTTAAACACAGTCGGAACATCTCCCTTAGTTGACAATGACCCATTAATCAGTACCTCTTGGGCATAGCTGTATCCAGCTTAAATAAATACCACAGTCAATCACTATAATCACTGCCTTGCACATATGCTTGACTCCCGGGCTTCTCTCTTGCTTCACTACTATGTGACATTTGCTTTTTATAACAATCCTAATAAAGTCCAAATCTCCATCTGCTCTTCTTATACCATGCAGTCATACACAACCATGTTGACTGGTCCAATGTCAAATTCATGATCACAAACCTCCAATATACTTTTAATGTTTCCCCACATCATACTATGTGTCTCTGTTCACTCTGCCCTTCTCCAGCTGTCTATTTCATATCTTCTCCTCTCCTCAATTCCCCTAGCACCTCTTTATCCATCCCCATTCTCCACTGATGATATTGCTTCCTCTCTCCTTCACTGAAGACTGAAGCATTCTGTAGAAACCCTCCACCACTTCTACTCACTTAGCAGCAGCTGCACCTGTACACTCAGCCAGCCTACCTGTTGTCCCAGGTGCTCTGATTGAAAGCCGATCCTCCAACGTGTCCGGGAGGAAGAATTTTCCCTCTACCCTTCTAGGTTCTTCTGGGTGACCTAAGAATTAAATTGACATGAGGTACATTAACAGGAGAAAATCAAATAAAGTTTAATAACATGTAAGCATGGGAGATACCCAGGAAAACTGAGAAACTGGCCAAGATGGTAGAAGCCGTCATCTTAAATATCATCTTCAGCTAAAGACAAAAGAAGATGTTGAGGGTAGTGGTCTGGGACTTCAAAGGAGAGGAAGGCAATTCACGAGGAAGTGGAAAAGCAAATGTTTGGTAAATAAATGTTTACTTAGGTCACAAGGGACAAATCAGACGCAGAGTGGACTCTGATCTCCAGGCCCTGCTGAGTTTTCCTCACAACACCTAGTTCATATTCTTTGCAGATATCTCTGGTGATAGCTCTTTCAGCAACAGCCCCTTTATTTATATGCCTTAGGCAGGAAGAGAAGGAGATAAACAGAAAAGACTTCCTGAATCTTCTGTTTCTTAAAAAAATATCAGTCACAATTAATCCTTATGCCAAAGAGACATATTTTGGGGTGGCAAATTTTGCTCCCCTACACACTAGATCTCTTCCTCTCACTTAAAGAATTTGCTCCAGCAACTCTCCCCTCCCTCCCTTTTCTTTTTGTTATTTCCTCCATCTTAAAGCAAACAAACAAGCGAACATCAAAAATTATCTTGATCCTATGTTCCCCACCAGTGACTGTTTCAAGACTTTAAGGGAAAGTGTCCTGAAAAAATAAGTCTATATTCACCATCTCCCATATCTCTCCTTCCAATATCCATTAAACACATTATCAAACGTTGGCCTCATAATTTCACTAACACTACTCTTTGCAAGAACATTTGTAATCTCTATGTTGGTAAATCTAATGGTGGATTCTCATCTTCTACGTCTTATCAAGAGCATTTAGCACAGTTGATTCCCCCCCCCACCCCTCCTTCATAAACCTTCTTTGTATTCCAGGGTACCACGAACTCCTGATGTCCTACTACTCTCAGCCTCCACTCACAGGCTAGTCTCATTTTCTGGTAGCTACCCTTGTCCTCGACCCCTTAGTATTGGGTTACTTCAGAGTTAACACCTTGTTACGCTTCCTTGGTCAAGATCCCATTCAGTCTCATAGTCTTTAATGCCATCTACATGATGACTTCTCCAGATTTTTATCTTTACCCCAGACCTCTCTCCCCAAAACCAAACTCATATGTCCAATTGCCTATTGGTTATCTCCACTCAGATGTCTAATACCAGTTTAAACACAGCATGTCCTTTTTTCAAACATCTCATACCCACTGTCTTCCCCATCTCCATCAATGTCATTCTTCCAGTTTTTCCAGTATCCAAACTTTGACATCCTCTTGATTCCTCTCTTTCTCTCCCATCCCACATCTAAAGCTTTCCTAATATATTAATATTCTCTAGAATTTTGCCTAAACTGAAGCTCACTTGTCTATCGTTTGTAAATTAATTTTCTGCTCTTTTGAAAAGAATGTCATTTGCCACTTCTCCCATTGTCTGAAAATCCGTAATTCCAGAGATATTAGCTTCAGTAGTTCAGCAATCATTTTCAGTTATTCGCATTACCATGAAATAGAGTTCATTCTGGGAAAAGAAACATGAAAGCATTTATCACAGCATAATAGCTTCCTGAAGTCTTTTCATTCCTTGTGAGCTTCTGCCGTCTGCAATTCAACCTCCTGTTCATGGTTGTCAAGCCACCTCACTTGGTCTGCCGCTTGTCTCCTTCAACTAGAACAGTCAACCTGTCAGTGCATCTAGTGACAAGAGTTGGTCTCCAGTTTCCTCAGCCTCCGAAATTTACATTTCCAGCTGCAAGCTCTTC